ATGATGCCACTCTAAAATAACAAAAAAAAAAGAAGAGATATTAACTTGTGTCTAACCACTTTAGCAATTAAAAAATATCACTTTTGATAATATATTCTCTTGAAGTGTACAAACTTTTTTCGTAGACACACATATATATATAGGCTTGACAACAATGAACGAAAGGGAGAATGAAAATGCATGAAGCACCTACCGAATAGTTACTATCGTCGACTTTTATTTTGCATACAAAGTAATCGAAGAGAAAAAAGAAGAAGAAGTATAATAATGGTCTTCTTTTTTTTTTGAAGTATAATGAAACAATATAATAAAAATGATCGACGCGACGATAGCTATGCTTCAATTAGACAATGATGAAGCAGTAATAATTGAAAACACCAACACGATAATGAGTGATGATGAATACAATGACAGACTTTATTTAATGCTGAGAAGATCTATGCATTTTATGAATGCTTCGATCTGCTCATTTACTGCTGCCAATAATGGCGGCAGCAGTACCAACACCTAATACCACTAACAACAAAGAGAACAGAAGTATAAAGGAGTATATATCTGGCAGATTTTTTTTCTTTTTCTTTCTTCGACCGGCGTCCGTTGATAAACAAGGAACGTAGTGCTTTCTTTCTCCCTTTTTTTCCTCCTTTTTTTGTCGGACGACTATGTCTGTAGGATAAAGAGATCCCATTTATTCTAGTATGCATTATATGCATATGTTCTATGCCGATAGGTCACAGACATTCACATACACACAGTCTGTTCATCGTTTCTCTCTTTCTTGATTTGTTTCGTCTTCTTCTTGTGTAAATAAGAAGGGAAGGAAATAATGAAGTGACATACATGATGACAAAGAATAAAAGTATTCTACGGATTTCCTTTCGTGTCGTAGACATCAACTAAAATGCTCTTTATATAATTCTATATATATATGTATCAAATTTATTCATATATTTGCTTTAATTTTTTCAAAGAAAATGAATGATGATATATAAGTGCCTATCAATATTATGTAAATGTATGTATGTTACGTATTAGTTATCATTGAATAAACGAGTACGAATTAGTATACAAATAAATTTTTTCATGCCAATCTCATCTAGCTTACATATTAAGCATACTTGCATTCATCTGGCTTACCTGCTTAATAGATTTCTCAGTATAAAATCATTGCTGTACAGATTTTTCGATTGTATTTATCAAGGCTAACGAGATTAAGGAAAGAAAAAGAAAAAAAGTAATTGTAAATGAAGATGTCAAAAAAAAAGGTTATCTTATATCTGAATTTATCATCGCCATAATCGTCTTCTATTATCCTTTAATAAAGAACAAAATAAAATCATGTTCTGTTTATAGGAATAAGACATTATCTGATGAAAATATGTCATTAGAATTTAATTAATTAAATTAAAAAATTCGTTAAAAATATTTCAACTGATATCTAGCGACATCTTGATCATTTCAAAAGTATAAAATAAATAAAAATAAAATCATATTTCAACATTTCATTAGAATCTAAGAAAAATAAATCTATGAAATATTCTTTTTAATATTTCATCAATAACCAATCATTAATCTGTATCGATCATCTATCTCTCTCCCTATATATATATATATTGTTGCTCAGATGATGATGATGATGATGTGTTGATGTAGAACAAAACGAAGAAGAAGAAAAACAAAAGTCTATATTAATATTTTTAGATTTCTAGTTCATATTATTATGATCATTATTTGAATAAATAAATTAAAAATCATGACTATATTTTCATCAAAAAAACCTTCAAATAATAATAAAGATTTATCATCAAATTCAACAACACAACAACAACAGCAATCATCATCAAATATTTCTCGTACACGTCTTTCACGTGATGATGATAATACAAATAGTATTCAAACAAATTCAAGTGATGAATCAAATTTAGTATGTGAAAATAATCTTCCATCATCATCATTGACAACAAATACAATTTTAACAACAACAACAACAGCACCTATATCGAAACGTAAATCCCATTATCATCACCAAACAACAGTTAAACAAGCTCGACGACGTGGTGGTTCAGTTGGAGAAAAATTAATCTCAAATTCTTCAGTAACAAATGTTACTTGTAATAGCCCATCATCAAGTTTATCAATTGAAAATAATTTAACCTCAAATACAAATTCAAATGAACATTTAACGCAAACATCAACACCAACACCATCACTTACAACAGTTAATAATGATGAACAATGTAACAGTGAAGATGAATATGAACAAACAACAGTTAAATATGATAGAAATAATCTCAATGATGTTTGTATTTCTTTTCTTCTTGTTTTTTATTATTATTTTTTGAATTATTTTCTTTTTTCTTTTAGCTTGAAATGCGTTTTGCTAGAGCATTAAAAGAAAAAAAAGGTTTCGTTATTAAATCGGTTCAAGAAGATGGAGCATGTTTATTTCGAGCAGTGTGTAAGTAAAACAATATATAAATAATTTCATTCGTTATAAACGTAATTTCGTAAAATACAAAATGCTGATATATCTCTGAAATCGAGCATTTTTTTAAATTCATTTTTATCTATTAGATGTATATTGAGCTACTCTAGATATCTTGTAAAAACTCAGTTCTATTGGTCTTAGTTTCAAAGCGTTATTATTGAAGAATTAAACTAATGATAGCCACGTGACAAAAAAACAAGGGCAAAGGTTTTTATTGCGTGCATTTTTATTTACACATTTAGAAGGTCAAATAATATTTTTTAAAATCTAATTGCATACTTTGTCGGGGATTCTAGACTAAAAAGTATTTCTACACAAAATTTTTCTTGGACATACTTTGTTTATTCATTGACAACAATGTGAATGAATACGAATATCTAAACGACGAATTCTTTTTGAAGATCTCGAGATGATAACAAAATAAAAAATCTTGTTCTGAGACATGAACAGACTTCTGTAAAAATGGTTTTCTGGAGGACTTTTTTCAGTTCGACTTTGTTGTGGAATCTATTCTGAAATTCTTGAACAATTCCGTCATCACGCTAAAGAGATATTAGCTAATTATGCTTAATTGGGTGTAAGCTAGAGTTTTGAATCTCGAAAATATTCGAGACTCTAATAGGATGACATTTTTTGTGTTTATTTTGGTCAACGGAAAGTCAACGATAATCATGTTCCGTTTTCGCTGATTTTTATAAAATAATGAATATAAATTATTCCGCTTTCTTTCTTTCTTTTTCTAGCTGATCAAGTATTTGGTGATGAAGAAATGCACGCAACAGTTCGACAAAATTGTATGGATTATATTGTGAGTTAATTGATTTTACAAAAGAAAAAATTAATTTTTTTTTTGTTTTTATTTAGGTAAAAAATGCAGATTTTTTTCGTTCATATATAACAGAAGATTTTGATCATTATGTAACACGTAAACGACGGCAACATTGTCATGGAAATCATATTGAAATGATTGCTCTGTCAGAATTATATAATCGACCGATTGAGGTTTATGAATATAGTATAGGTTAATATAAAACATTAAGGATAATTGAATAATAGTAAATGTCTCTTTTTTTTTGTTTAGAACCAATTAATATTGTACATGGAATGTATAAAACAGATAATGAACCTATTCGTTTGAGTTATCATTGTGGTGTTCATTATAATTCAATCATTGATCCTTGGAGACCAACAGCTGGTCATGGTCTTGGATTTCCTGATCTTGAACCAGGAGTATATAATTTTTCAAAAAACTATTATTAATTTGTTTTTAATATATATATTTAATAATTGGTTTTAGCGCGCACAAGAATCACTCATACGAACAGCATTGCGACAATCAGAAGAGAGTCATATTGAACGTGCTATGCTTGATGATAAAATAGCTGCAACTGATTGGGAAGCAACACAAGAAGAATTGATACAACAAGTAGCAAGAGAATCCTATTTACAATGGTTATGTGATACTAATCAACAACATAAAGATAATAAAACGGTTAGCTACTAAATAAATATAAAATTCATTGCTATACTGTTCATTTGACGTATTGTCTTAGATTTTCATTAAGATTATACTACAATGGTTTTTTTTTTAAGATGAAAATGAAAGATAAGTTATTAGATTTATACAAATCATAGGATATTATTCGATTATATATTAATATATTTCAATTGGCATAGAGAAAAAAAGAATCTTGATTTTCACTGATAAATCTTTATACTTCAACAATTTGAGTAGTTCCCAGAGTCTTATAACGACTTCAAAGGAAGTAAAAAGAAAAGTCTATATTACTATTTTCTTTTCTTAGATGCCATCTTCCAGTTCATCACCAACATCGGCAACGACATATGAGCGAACTTCAAATAGTAATCATGGTAAATTTGAATATTCGAAAAAATAATCTTATATACAAAAAAAAACATAAATTTTTGTATTAGGAAGCTCACCAAGAAATTTATTACCATTAAGACTTGACGAACGAAAAGATTGTGAATTTGCCTTACCATTTAATTATGAATGTGATCCTTCATCAAATCCTGGTACGTTTTTAAATTGAATTCCTATATTTTATCAATAATGCTCAATTTTAAGATCTCGATGATGATGATGATTCCTTAATGCGACAAGTTCTTGCCATATCACAAATTGAATATGTGGAAACATTAAAAAAACAACAAAAACCTCCGAAATCAGATGATCCAGATGAACCATCGTCTTCATCAGACACACATCTTTTGTAGAAAATGTTTTTCTGTGTTTTTTTTTGTTCTTTTTTTGTTAATTTATATTCTTCTCTTTCTATCCAACTGATATTTCTTTAAAAAAAACACAGAACATAGCATATACGAACAGGTAATGTGTGTGATGCACGTTTGAAAAAAAAATTTTTTTTTTCTTTTTTTCTCTCTCTTTTCTCTTACGTTTATGTCAATTATATCGGTGTGTGTGCGTGTATATGTTTGGAATTAAACGAGAGCCATATTTCGGATATATCTCTCGATTTTATTTCAGATAATGTCAAATAAAGAAATAAAAAATTCTAAACGTAAATTAGAATCTGATGATAATAATAATGATGATGATGAAATATGGTCGAAATTATCACGTGAACAAATTATTCAACGTTGTAAACAACTTGAAAAACATGTTGAACAATTGAGAAATACGATTATAAAAAAAACAGAAAATCAATCAAATGAGAAAAAAATAAAAAAAAATAAAACAATGAGACCATTTGATTTTAGTAAACATTCTAAACGACATATATTTCTAAAATTTATTTATCTTGGTTGGGAATATCATGTGAGAATAAGAAAATATTGATTAAAATTGAAGAAAATTTTGTCTTTCTTTTTTATCTAATGATTTCAGGGTTTTGTAGTTCAAGAGACAACATCACAGACAGTGGAAGATTTTTTATTTGAAGCTCTCATTAAAACTCGATTGATTGAAGAACGAGCAACAGCTAATTATCATCGATGTGGAAGAACCGATAGAGGCGAGTTAATTTTCAATGGAATAAATTGAAGGTCATGTCTTTATATAAATAATGAAGTTTTATTAGAAAGACAGAATAACAACATAAAACAGTACAAATAACTATGACCTGTACCCAACTGTGTACAAGGTCGTTCTGTTCTTACGAACAATGGGAGTCAATCTGATATTTCTTGATAAAGCAATACGTTCTGACATTTACATCCTATCGTTTTTATAATGAAGAACAACGTATGACTTTTTTTGTTCTAATGGAATAAATTTAACCTATTTAGATTCAAACTATTCTCTTATTCTCTTCTTTCTTCATAATCAACCAAAAGTACAACCTAAAAATTCATCTAAAAACATAAATTCGATGTATCTCTTAAAACGAGCTATTATTATTTTTGATCATAGTCTAGATTAATAATAAAAGATAATATTATTTCTACGACTAAAAAATATATTCTAAATCTATCGATATTATATTGATGAATACAAAATATTTGTATGCAATGATTTCCCATAAGTATACTAATACAAGGTTAAAAAATAATACTTTTCCAGGGGGAGTACGCTTCCAAACACAAATGTTATCCGCATTGGATTTTATACCAAAAGGAAGCTCATCAAAAAACGGGATTTATAAGTATACTTAACAATTCATAGAATGATTACTAAATGGTGATTCACTGAAAGTTCCAAAATTATCAGACGTATAATTAAAGACTATATCTAGTCAACCACAAAAAACGGATAGATGGTCTTAGAAAATGTTTTGTCTATCAGACTTTGTAGAATTCTCTTTTTCGATCATTTCAATAAAAAGATGATGTTAAACTCAAAATACTGACAATACTATATTTCTACCAGACAGAGCTGTCTCCGGTTGTACAGTATTTTGACTGTAGCACCGTCATTTATTTATCAAGTTGAAAAGATCTTTTTATCGAAATAATCGTCAAAGAGAACTCTACAAAGTCTGATAGACAAAAAAAAAGATTTTCTGAAGCCTGTTTTATTTTTCCTGGTTGACTATATGCTTGGAGTTTGGGATATTTTTCCAGTTCACGATCATTCTATGATTGGTTAGTTATACATTTAAATTCAGTTTTTGATAAGCATTCGTTTGATACAAAATTCGTTGCTGATATCATTTGTTTTTGGAAGTGTACCATCCTTAGAAAAATATTATTTCTATCTCTGTACAATCATTTATTTTCATTTTTAGGTGTAAGTGCATTTACACAAGTGATTTCATTAACTGTTCGTTCGAAAGTTACTGTAGAATGGTAGCAGAGTTTTTCTTTCAATATTATTTATTACTAATAATTATTTTATTCTAGTACGGAAGAACTCAATTATGTACAAATGTTAAATGGTGTTTTACCTAGTTCAATTCGATGTATAGCATGGGCACCAGTACCCGATGGAAAATCTGCTCGATTTGATTGTATATCACGATCATATCGATACTATTTTCCAAAGTAACATATCAATTTGTATCTCGTTTGATTTATTTTATTTTCTAAATATATAAAGAGCAAATCTCGATCTTGATCGAATACGCCAAGCATCAACTCATCTCATTGGTACACATGATTTTCGAAATTTTTGTAAACTAGATATTACCAATACCGAGCCGACATTTATTCGACGTATTGATAATGTAACTGTTGAACAATTAAATATAAATAACGATTTAAATAATTATAATTCTGGGTAAAATTTTTTAAGAGAAAATATTCAAGTAAAAATTAATTTTCTTTATAGTTATGAAATGTGTGAATTAATGGTACATGGTTCAGGATTTTTATGGCATCAAATTCGTTGTATTGTTGCTATTTTAATATTAATTGGTGAAGGAAAAGAAGAAATTGATTTAGTTAAAGCCTTACTTGATATTGATAAATATCCATGTACACCGAATTATCAAATAGCTTCAGGTGAGACGATTTGTTTTTCGAAAAAAATTATTTCGAATGATTTAATATGTTTTTTTTTCTTAGAATTACCTCTGATTCTATTTGATTGTCAATTTAATGGGGTTGATTGGATCTGTGATCAAGCCTGTCTTCGTATAACTATTTGTCATTTACAACGACATTGGTCTTCATTTCAAATTCGTGCTACTATGGTTAAATCTATGTTAAATAATTTAGAAAGTCAAATTTGTGACAAAAAACAATTGCCAATTTTAGGTCAATTATCACTGATTGAAAATGAAAATAATTCATTATTAGGATATAATAATAATCGAAGAAATTATCAACCAATTTTAACACGTCCAGTAAGAGAAAGTGTTGAAGTTAAAATTGAAAAATATCAAAATAAAAAAGTTAAATCAGAAATAACCAATGAAGATTATAAAAATGAAACAAATAAATCAGATGATGTGGTTGTTTAAATTTTTTTAATATTTGTTTTTTTGTCTTCTTCTCAAATAAAATAATATTTGAGATTGGTTATCTATTTTTAAATAACCAATTAGTGTGTCTTTATTTGGTTGTTAAATAAGGAATAATATGTATCAAAGTAAAAAAAATGCATCTAAAGATGAAATTATTGCATAGAGTGAGTAAAAATGTTTTTCCAGGAGGTTAATGCTATGATTTCAACTAATATCAATAACAAGTTTTATACAAAATTCAAGTGTGTCTAAAATGGGATTTATCAATGCTAAAGAATCAGGATTATGGCAACTTTTCGGTGTCGAATTCAGGAAGCTCCTCAAATTTTAACTCATATCAACAGAGAAAAGTTCCTTTCATGAGGCAATTCAAACTAGATCTCATTTAAAGTGATGAATATCACCCTGTACTAGATGCCTAACCTGGAAATATTGAAAAAATAGTCAAAAATGAATCTGAAGAAAACAGATATCAGAGACGGAACACAATTTTTATGATAAAGAAACTAAAAAAAAATCTGGTACGTTTTAACAAACATTGATCTATTGCAAATTTTTTTATGCTAATATTCATCTCATATTTCTGCTGTCAAAATGCTAATAGTTGTCCTTCTCATTATTGATTATTGTTTATCAAGTTTTAAAACAAACATTACCTTTTGACATTCATCATTTTAAATGAGATGTAATGTAAACTCTCTCATGAAAGGAATTTTTCTCCATTGACATGGCGGGGTGTGGATGTGGGGTGTGGATGTGGGTGTGGGTGGGTGTGATGGTGGGTGCGGGTGTGGGTGGATGTGGATGTGGGGTGACTGGGTGGCTGTGGGTATTGGTATGGGTAGGAATAAAGAGCAGATCACACCCACACAAACGCCAATCACCACCACATCTATGCCGTCATCTACACCTATACCCACACCCACACCCACACCCACACACCCACACACCCACACACCCACACCCTTTTACCGTTGCATAGACCTCATCGAGTCACACCTGAAACACTATGTGAGGGTAATCGGCCTAGATAATATTGGCCCAATAGGACTATTGAGCTTTGTATCGGGACGATTTTTTCGAGAATGATTGAATGTATTAAGATGCGATTTTTACCGACATCAGGAATGATCGCAGGGCAGTTTTCCAAGTGCGGTGTTTGTCTGCTTGAAACTTAGGGTAGCGACTTTAGAAGATTTGCCTGGATGAATCAGTTCTAAAAAGTTCGAATCCGAACCAAGATATATAACGTACATGATTGTCGCCTCAGTTGATAGAATAATTTATATCGTAGAACACATGAAGTCAAGTTAGATTTATTTCTCAAGTCAAGATTTATTGGAGTAGGCGGATTTTCATTAACTGGAATAACTGGACATCTCCCAAAACTTTCTCAAGTCTTTTAAAATTCCAAACTTTTAAAATCTCCGTTATTTTCATTGCCATATTTATGTTCAAATTTTCTTCAGTACAACATTAATGAATCAAAATTTTCATCGCGAAAAGAGCATTGTTCACTCGTTGTCCATTTTGCTCTAATATAGAATAAGTCAGAATATTTTTGTTTGATTTATGGTCTGTGATTTGAAAGTAGATGTTTGTAGTCAGAACTGCAAATATTTACAATAGTTGAAAGAGATAATTTTAACTTGCCGATAGTATGTCCATGTCATTGTCACTCTCACCTCAGCAACTATCTTATCTGCAATGTTTGATCAATGGCATAACTGTGCACAGAGAAAAGATAAGCTAAAAAGCAGAACCACGACGGTAGCTCTCCTCTTATTCTTTGTTAATGGAAAAGAAATCTTTGAACGAAATATAGAATCTAAATAGACTCTTCTTTGGTATTTAAGAAATAGTAAATAATAGTAATACTCTTAAATAAGATCTATTTCTATTTTTTTTTATATAGAATTAAGATTGATTGGTTTGAAATTAAGTTGCGGAGCTTGTACTGGCCTCATTTCACGTTGTATCGATCGATATTCTAGTAAAATTGGACATCGTACAATAAATGCATATTTAGCACCTGTATGTTCTGTGGATGGATGTTATGTGATCACTGTGTAGAATGATTAGACTGAACTAGCAAATTAAATCTTCATTTGACTGAAATTCGTGTTACAGAATTATTTACTTCACAATGTGCCTTTTGTACACCAGGTATGGTTATGTCTTAATATAAAACAATTGCATAAAAGATAATTCATTAACAGCATTGGAAGATATTGAAGAATCTTTTGATGTAAATGTTTGTTGATATACTCAATATCGTCCGATTCTTGATGTTGCAAAGATATTTGCATGTGATATTAAAAAACTTGATGATCAAAAATCTTCTTCATCATCAAGAATATCAACTACATTTGATAAATGTTTTTCATATGCTCATCAAAATACATTACCAATCGGGTGTGGGTTGGGGTGTGCGTGTGCGTATGGGTAAGATACAGAGGGATGCACATCAACACGCACAATCACACCATACTCACACCCACACTCCACACCCATACCCACACCCCACACCCACACCCACAGCCCACCATAGCCACCCCCACACCCCACCCACCCACACCCACCCCCACCCACCCCGCCACCCACCCCCGCACCCACACCCAACCCACACTCACAACCCGACACCCACACCCAACCCACACTCACACCCGACACCCAAACCCACCAAAAGGATAAGAATATTAGGCAAAAAAAATAACAATGCTAGATCTTAATTACTTCAAATCCCCCGTTAC